ACCACGCTTCTCTATTCCTTGTTACTCTGCAAAATTATTACATGCCTTCTTAACATATGGTCCACACATATCAAAGAAATAGCATTTTTCTACTGACTGTTTAGAACCCAAATTGGATATATTATGGCTGCTTAACCAATGATGTAACAATTAGAACTATGTATACTACATTTTAATTTTTATTATTTTCAATTAAAAACATTCTTGCTCTATTAAAATTTCAAGTAAAACAAAAAGCGGTGAGGAACATAAATCTTAATTTTGTCACTAATGATAATAGATGTACTGAACTTTTCTGAAATTTCTGAAACTAAATTATTTGAAATGAAGATAAAATTTATGCTATTAAATTCATGAAATACTTTGTTATTATAAATAGAAATTTTTCTACTTGCTAACACTTTTGTTTTACTATTGACATACTTGTTTTAAAGCAGAGTTTTTAAAATGTAAGGTTTTTTAGGAGTAATGTTAGGGATTACAGCAGAATAGATGGTACTGGGAGCACTTTGTAACTACCTGGATGCTCGCTATGCTACCCTGATTTGAGTATTGCTTTATCCCTCAATAAACCTCTTTTGCTTTTACTTTAGGCTGACTCCATGATTTTGACACTTTTCATATGCAAAATGTGCTGCACAATATCAAAAGTCACTTAAGGGAATAATTAAAAATAAATACTTTTTCAAATATCTTTGTTTAAATACAAGTATTAGGGATATTTAGCTCGCTGAATGTTCCAGAAATAATTGCTTTAAAAAAAAATCTGATTTTATTTTGAATTTTCTCTCCTTATTGCCTTGGGAGGTGAAAGCTACTCTCTTTACCTTCACCTGCTTCTTCATGGTGTTTCTGTATTCTTCTCAAGCCTTTTCCATTGTGGTCTCACTCATATGTGCCATCCTCTAGGGTCCAGTCCATATGCCAGTTTAATGAAAATAGCTTTTCATATCCCTCTGGCTTGGGACTAGTGTTTTTTGTTGTTGTTGTTTTTAAGCGTAGATAATATTTGAAATTAACCAAACATACTTTGCACTCTCTCTTCATATGTTGCTTCCTATGTTTAGAAAGCTAACCAGAATTAGCCTCTTCCCTGATCAGCTAGTTGACTTGAGAGTTCAGCTCAAACCAGGTTTCTTCTAAAAAGCTATTCCCGGTCTTTAGTTATTAATATCTAGCTTACTGTACGACATATTTGTAGAATTGTAACAACAAACAAAAATAAGCCCCATATCTTTCTGCATGTGTGGATTTGAACCCTATCTGTGTGTGTGTGTGTGTGTGTGTGTGCATGCATACTGTGAAAGAGATTGCTTTACATACGGTTAGCTCATTCCTTCCTTTCCCAATGGCTCGTGCTTTGGCCAGGTCCAGTGCTCCTGGACCACATGTGCCCAGCTTCACACTGCTCAGGCTGAGCTTAGGGCTTGTTTCTGGCCCATAAGGATAATCTTTCTTTTCTCCTGAGGAGCACCAACAGGGCTTTTGGTGGTTCAATTTTAACCAGCATTTGTGTTTTGTAGCAGGGAGGGATCCACATTAACATAGCCTCTTTGTGACTAAAAATTCTTCCTTCTATAGAAAGGCGTTGGTGTGTCATGTACCAAAGATCTCTGGATATAGCATCAAGACTGCAAAAACCTACATTAAGAAACCCTGCATACAGAAAAACTAGGTTATCACTGAGGCAGGGTACAAGAACTTGTATGTTAACATCTGGTAAAGCGAACAAGAAATAAACAGTGAAAGTGCAGCCGCTTTGGCTTGTGAGTGTTGTAATAAGGAAGAGCAAAGTCGCCGCAAGCATACACAGAATGGAAAGGCTTTTTGTTAAGGTGTGTGGATCACACGTGACCACACGTGCACAGCATCGTCTTTCACTGTGCTGACACGCTGCAGGTCTGTGGCCATTGTAGGTAGCGGTGGTCCCTGCTCTAGGCAACAAGTACCAAGAAAGATGGGCTTGCTTTTGACCGCCCTAGGTGTGGATAGAAAATCCAACTGGAGAAGTCTTTCTCCTGACTTTCGTTAGTGAGAGTGATAAAAGGACACACAAGCATGTTCTAAAAGGTGGATGTGCATGTACACAAACACATTTCAGCCCAATAAGGCCAAAATGAATAGGCAAGAATTGGCCTCAGCAGAAATTCTGTTCCAAATTCTGAATAGCTAAGGTAATTCCCAAAAGAAAAAAGGTAATGCATGAGGTTTGTTGTCTACAGTCCTAGGAAACGTATGTTTAGATTCATTTTAGCCAGTTTTGGGTTTTTTTTCTGATTTAATCTCGTAAACTTTCCTTTCACCAGCCTTGATTTTTATTATCCTTTTTGGATGAGAGTTTACTGTGTATGTCAATTTTGACTAAACTTTTCATTAGTTATTACATGAGTATATAAAATGAGTAGGATAAAATTTTTAAATATTCTTTGAAAGAATTGATTAATAATGATTTTATGTAAACTATAATTTTGGCTTTAAATTTTTAAATCTTTGAATATGTATTTAATAGAACCAATGTGACATTAGATTTCTGTGTTTAAATACACAGATCTCTGTATCTTCAATAATCAGAGAAATATATATGCATTTTAAAAATTCATTTTATTGGGGGGATATATATGTATTTTAAAGATGATATTCTTTCCCTTATATCTAGTAGTGTATCTTTGTCATATGTCAGTTTAGCAGCATAGTAGTGTCAGTACTCCCAAAGATCATAAATGTCATTGATATTGTGAAAATTTCTGAAGCAGCCAATCGATGAAATATATGCTCTGTGCCTCCAATGAAGCATTACTCATGTTGATAGTTCCTTCAGTAGTTCTTCAAGGTAGCATCAAGGTTACCCGAGAACTTAATTAGAAAGGCAAACTGTTGGACCCCATCCACACCTACTGAATGGACGCTTTGGTGATGAGGCCCTGGAAGTAAGCCTTTACGGCAGTGGTTCTCAACCTGTGGGTCACGACCCCTTTGGGGGTCGAATGACCCTGTCACAGGGGTTGCCTAAGACCGTCAGGAAACGCATATTTCCGATGGTCTTAGGAACTGAGACACTGCTCCTTGATGCCTCTCCAGGCGGTCACCCACATACAGATACGCTGATCTGGGGAGAAAGAAGCTGTCTCAACCTTCGCACTGGCGTTGGCTTTTTATGCATATTGTCGCAACATGTAGCAATGTAGTTTACTGTTGTTATAGTAAGACTATTACCCATGCTACACCATGCTTCAAGACAAAAATTTCATTTATTTGTAATAAGAAATGAATATTTCACAATATAGAATTACATATTATTTTGCGATTAATCACTATGCTTTAATTATGTTCAAATTGTAACAATAAAATACATCCTGCATATCAGATATTTACATTAGGATTCATAAAAGTAGCAAAATTACAGTTATGAAGTAGCAATGAAAATAATTTTGTGGCTGGGGGTCACCACAACACGAGGAACTGTATGAAAGGGTTGCAGCATTAGGAAGGCTGAGAACCACTGCTTTAGGGTATCCTGGTATATATTCAAGCTTGAGAGTTTAGCGACCTAGCCTCAGTATCATATTGGGAGAGGGATTGTGTTTTTTCTATATTATTACTCACACAACTGAGTTATTGTTAGGTGCCATTAAGTCAGTTCCCACCCACAGCACCCCTGTGTACCAGAGAAGAAAACACTGCTTGCTATCCTCAATCGTTCCTATGCCTGAGCCTGTTGTTACAGCCACAGTGTCAACCCATCTCCCTGAGGACCCTCTGCCTTGTACCAGACAGTACGTCCTTCTCCAAGGAGTAGTCTTCCTGACAAGTCCAGAGTATGAAAAGGTGAAGTTTCCGCCACCCTTGCCTCTAAGAGCACTCTGGCCATACTTCTTTCAAGACAGATTTGTGGTCCTTTTGCCAGTACACGGTACCTTCAATATTCTTCGCCAACACAATTCAAGTGTGTTGACTCTTCTGTCTTCTGTCTTTCTTAATCAATATCCAACTTTCATATGCATATGAGGCAATTGAAAATACCCTGCCTTGGGTCAGGCACACCTTAGTCCTTAAAGTAAAACCCTTGCTCTTCAATACTCCAAAGAGATCTTGTGCAACAGACCCAGTGCAACGAGTCTTTTGATTGCTTGATTGTTATTTCCATGAGCATTGATTAGATACAAGCAAGACAGAATCTCTGACAACTTCATCCGTTTCTCCAGTTACCATGATGTTACCTATTGATTCGGTTGTGAGGATTTTGGTCTTCTTGACCTTGAGTTATACTCCATAGTGAAGGCCACAATCCTTGATCTTCAGTAAGTGCTTCAAGTCCTCTCACTTTCAGCAAGCCAGGTTGTATCAGCCTGTATCACAGGTGGTTAATCAGCCTTCCTCCAGTCCTGATGCCACAGTCTTCCTACAATCTAGCTTCTCTGAGTAATAAGTAAAGTAAGAATAACTTTCCATGTGTAAATGAAAAACCAGTTCCAAGTGTTTGTATTAAAATGAAGGCACTCCTTCACCAGAGAATATGAATTTTATGGAGGGAATTTTATATTACAATGATATTTTAAAATTGGGAAACTTCATGATGGTCTTTGGCGAATATTAGTGATGGAATCTGCTACACCTAGCTGTAATATCCATCTTGTGGCAGGGTAACCTTAGAAGCTATATAATATCACCCTTTCCACCAGAAAATTGACTAGCTTGATTTTTCTAGACTAGATGCAAAAGTAAAGAATATCTTTATTTGTTCTGTAACCATGCAATATGAGGTTTCCATTTTCTTTCAGGGGCATTGGTTTTGAAGTTTTCCTGTTTATAGATTTAAATAATAATATGATCTATGCTATAGATTTGGGTTTATACCCAGATTTTGTTGATTTGTTTTATTCAAAATTTATTGTATTAAAAATTCACATCTGATGTAGGGTAGTATGTTTTGTTTCTGCTAATAAGACATGTTTATAGTTTTTATAAAAATAAAATTTAATTCTGAGTTTTTTAATTTGCAGCCAGAAAATCTTGCTCAGAAGCTTCCAAACCTTGTGGAACTGTGAGTCTAATTATTAAAAAATTAAAAATAAAAAAATAAAAAATTGAAATAATTTAAGTTACTTCAAATAGTAGGATATGCTGTTCTGTGTATTTATTGTATTTTGGTATCATGATCATGGTGTTTATGGATGTGGGCCTCTGATTCTGCTAAGCCTAATAATAGTTCAAAATATTTTACCATGTAAATTTGTACTTTAAGGACCTTAATCTCAATATATTGAAGATGGTGAGAGAGGACATTTTCTCTGGGCACAGTGCCTTTGTTTTATTCCCCTTTAAGATAATTCATGTAATTGAGAAAATTTATTATTGTTGTTACTACTAATATGTGATATAAACAATGAAACGGTATACATATTTAAATACATATTAACGCCTCCTGTGTGCATCTACCTACCTTATTATTTATTTTTTTAATTCTAACATTGTGCTGTAGGTAGGAAGTTTACATTTTAGACCATCAACTCTGCATTCAACAGTTGCAACCGTTCATCAACACCCCTTTCCATATTCTAACCCACCCTTCCCTGCATTCTCTTCTCCCTCTTTCATGCATTCATTTTATGTTTTCTCTTCTCCCCTTACAGATTCCTCTCATCCCTCTCACCCAAGTCAACCCTTTCCACCTTGTAGGTATGGCTTCAGCTCCTCACCTTTGCTCTCCCTCCCTCGGGACCCTCCACAGTACGTCTTTATCTTCTCCTTCCCCACCCCCACCCCCACCCCGGATTTTCACTCTTACAATCTTTGGCCTTCTGTTATTTGCCACTTCCCTCAGCATGGTGTTCTCTCGGTTTATCCACGTCACGAGGGGCTTCATGGTGTCATCATTGATCTGTAGCGATGCGTCAGAGTCCATTGCCTATAGACCAAAGTTCCTTTATCCATTCTTCTACTAGTGGGCATTTGGGCTGTTTCCACCTTCTTGTCATTGTGAACAGTGCTTCCGTGAACATCGAGAGCATATCTCAGTTTGTGTTCTGGCTTTTGCTTCTTTAGAGTACATACTCAGCAGCAGGATTACTGGGTCATGTGCAATTTCTATTCCCAGTTGTCTGAGGTTATCACTAAATTGATTTTAACAGTGGTTGCGCATATTGACAGACCCACAAGCAGTGGATGAGAGTTCCACTCTCTCTGCACCCTCTCCAGCATTCTTGTTTTCTGTTTTATTATTAGACTGCCATTGTTGGTATAAGCATCTCATCTTGTTTTGATTTGCATCTCTTGGATGCTTCGTGATCTTAGGCAGTTTTTTCATGTATTTGTTAGTCATTTTAATATCATTTTTAGCCAACTGCTTATTCATGTCTTTTGCCCCTTTTTAATTGAATAATTCTTTTTTCTTATTGAGGTTTTACAGTTTGCTACAGACTTTGGAGATTAGATTGTTGGCTTTGTATCTTTGATCAAGTTTTTGCCCTCCCACGACTTTTGGATTTCTTTTTATTCTTTTGATGCACATAAATATCTTACTTTCAGTAGACCCTGGTTACCTATTTTGTCTTCAGTGTGCATGGCTCCCTCGTTATATTTGATAGTATATCTGTGCTGTTAAGTTTGTCCCGTTTTATCTTTGATGACCTGTAAAGCCCCAGGTTTACATTTAGATCTTTAGTCCATTGTTAGATTTCCTTTGTGCATAAGTTGTACCTACCATTTTCATTCTTCTGCAGATGGGAGATCTAATTTTGCCAGCACCATTTGTTGAAGAGACTCTTTCCCATTTAATGTTTGTTGGCCCTTTGTTGGAGTTCAGCTGTCTGTAGGTGGATGTGTTTATTTCTAGGTTTCTATTCTGTTTTATTGGTCTGTGTCTGATCATTGTACCAGGACCAGCCTGTTTTGACTGCTGTGGCTATGTAATAGGGTTTGAGGTCAGAGAGTGAGAGCTTTCCTATTTTATTCACTTTCCTAAGAAGTTCTTTGTATAGCCTGAGTTTCTTCCCTCTCCGTATCAAGTTAGTAATTATTTTTTCCATTTCTCTAAAGAATGAAGTTGTGATCTGGTTTGGAATTGCATTCTATTTATATATTGCTTTGTGTAATATTGACATTGTCACAGTATTAAGCCATGAACAAGAAGGAGCCCTGATGGTGCACTAGTTACACTTTGGGTTGCAATACCCCTGGTGGGTAGTTCAAAACCACCAGCAGCTCTACAGGAGAAAAAACTGGGCTTTCTGCTCCCATAAACAGTTAAGAAATCCACAGGGGGTTCCTGTGATTCGATGGCAGTGAATTTGTTTTTTTATCTGTGAACATGGAATGTTCTTTTATTTGTGTAGTTTTCTTTTGGCTTCTTATTAGAGGTCTAGTGGCATAGTGAGCGTGCATTGGACTGGTAACCATGAAGTCACCAGTTCAAAAGCACCAGCCACTCCAAGTTACATAGAGGTACAGCCTCTGCCACCCACGGGGCAGTTGGGTTCTGCCCTGTAGGTCACTGTGAGTCTGGGTCTCTGGTTTCTTGTAGTAGTGCTTTGTAGTTTCCTTTGTTTCTCTGCTTAGATGTATCCCTAAATATTTCATCTTTTGTGTATGTATTGTACATGTTACTGTTTCTCGATCTTTTTCAGAGTTCCCTTCATTAATAGATAGGAAGCCTGTTGGGTTTTTTGGGGGGTCATCTTGTATCCTGCCGTATTGCCAAATCCTTTGAAGGTCCTTGGGTGGTTCTAATATGAAGTCAGGATTGAGAACCTTTCATGATACTTTATACTGTATCTTCATTGTTCTACAGACCATCTAATGTGTTAAAATGCACTTCGTTTAATATCAATCATAGTAGTGGGTATTTAAGCTCATCTCTTCAGACATGTTCAAGTCCCCATTTTTTGGTAGGTCAAAGTTGACAAAGAATAGACAAGTGTTTTGTTGAAAAAATTTCTTTTCAGTCCCAAATGACTTTATTTTGTTATCCAGCTGTGCTGGCTTTTGTGTAACAAATGCAAGTCTGTGTGCCGCAGTGTTCAGAGGTACCTCGTACGGTAGTTGAGGAGCCCTGGTAACACAGTTACACATGGGGCTGCGAACTGTGGGGTCCGCAGTTTGAAATTGCGATCCATTCCTTGGGAGAAAGATGGAGCTTTCTGTCCCCATAAAGAGTTCCTGTCCCGGAAACCACAGGGGCAGTTCTCTGCCATCCAGGGTCACCACGAGTCTGAACGAACCTGACAGCAGAGAATGACGTTTAAAGCGTATTGGTCTTAAAATACGGAATCATGCCAACAGCACGGAATGGTGTATGTGGTTAAATTGTGTGAAGTCCTTCGAATTAATAGTACCTCCTGCACAATGGACATCACTCAGCCTTGAATAATCCGAAAAGCCAGACTCCCTGTCATCAAGTCGGTCCCGACTCATCATGACCTTAAAGGACAGAGCAGAACTGCCCGTGGGCTTCCCAGACCGTCACCGTTTACCAGAATAGAAACCAGCAGGGTTCCTAGCCACTGACGAGAGAACTCTGAAAACGAAATCAAGAAAACAATAACATGTTTGTAATCTCTGTAAAATTATTTGATCTTTCTGACTGTATGTTCAATGACATGATAACATTTAGTAGTAGACGTGAAAAAGATAGAAGATATTTTCAAAATGATATTTTAGCATTGTTTCAGTAAACAAAACTATAGATTTAAAATGCCAAAATCTAGTCCTCTTGTTTTAAAAGTAGTGGTGTGAATTTGTTTCTTGAATGATCATTAAATGATCTCCAGCAGTCCCGCTGCTGGCGTCATCTCTGCTCCTGACGGCGCGTCTTCTCCCCACCAGAGTGTGCTGAAGCTATGCAAAGCTGTTGCCGTCAGGCCTGTCTGGACTGTCAGGCCTGGACGCTTTTCTGCTTCTTTTAAAGAGTTTTTATTTCCTGTTTACCAAATTCCTTTTGCTGTGAAATGGATTCTGTACCTGGCAGTGTACCTAACACTGTCACCTAGCCAGTTCCAGCTCCTAGTGACCCCAATGTGGGTTTCCTCGACTCTGATCCGATAGCAGGCCCTCTCCGCTTTCCCTGCCACTCTGGTGCTTTTGAACTGTTGACAGGTTGATACCGAAACTGATGAGTATTTAATGGTCCCCAGTCTGGTGTCCCTAAACCTGCTGGCTGTAAATAGCTTTAACCTAATTATTCAGTCTAATTATTTTACAAATACAAGGTTATATCTCCCTTTATTTAATAACTTACCTTCCTTATACAATTTGAATGATATAAATGACAAGAAAAACTAGCAATTTGCTTCATCAGCCAAAATCATGTCATAATTTATCTGTTGGGCATGCTGTTCTTTTATTTTTTTTTAAAGTTTTATTGGGAGACTTATTTTATTTTTTTGAGACTATTATTTTAAAATAGCAGATATCTCAGTTAAGTACCTCTAATATCATTATGTATTATTCTCAGAGTATTTCCCACTACTTGTGATAACCATGCATTGGTTTGGGCTGCATTTTCACACGATAGGAAATAAAATTTTGGCTCTTTTATATTTGATTTTACAATATGATTATCTATCGAAAATACTGACGACTGAGAGTTGCTTTTCATTTCCTTTCCCCAGGTACCTTCATTCAAATAACATAGTTGTGGTTCCAGAAGGTAAGTGACTTTCGAGTTTCAGTTAGGAAGCACTCCAGTTTCACCTTTGCTTTATAAGTAGAACACCACGTGGTCTCGTTCAAGGCATCTTTGGGTTACAGAAGGGAATTTTAATTGTAAACATCTTTAGGTGCAAAACAGCTTTTCTTTCATTTATTAAGTCCAATTAAAATTATTATGAAATAAGTAAACAGTTATAATGGTTATGTGAATTGTGTTTAGATACGTTGTTAGGTGATTAAGATGAGCATTCTAAATTTAAAATTCAATTTCAAATAGAGTAAGAGAAAAATGATCTTTTGTTAGTTTCCTGAATTATTTATGCAAATAAATTTTAATTTGTTTTTACTTGTGTTCTTTTAAAAATTATATTTCATCCTTGATGGCAACATATGTACAAAATATGTTTGATGTAATTGATGTATGGGTTGTTATAAGAGTTTTAAGAGCCCCCAATAAAATTATCATAAAAAATTATATTTCATCTTGAAGTAGAAGTATTGTCACTTCAGTAAATTTTAGTTCAAAGGAAACAAAAGTATAAATATTAAAATAAATTAACTTGGTATACTTGCATTAAGTATTTGGCATAACTCTGGCTCAAATTTTTGATGTTTTGCTATTTTTGTGTGTGTGTTTTTTTTAAGCTATTGGGTCCCTTATAAAACTCCAGTATCTGGATCTTAGTGACAATGCCTTAGAAATTGTTTGCCCAGAAATTGGTCGTCTGAAAGCTTTACGTCATCTTCGATTAGCTAATAACCAACTACAATACCTACCTCCAGGTAATCATTAGATATTGCACTTAATGGTCTCTTGTCTATTATAAATCTATTTTTATTCATGTTTCTCACTGGGTGTCTTTAGACAATGGGTTATGTGTATGTTTGTCATTATTGTCTTATTTGTTTGAAGATGGACTAAGGAATGTATGTAAAGTGTGTCTAAGAGTCTTATCTCTGCTGCATACTTAAGAAAGTGGTGTTTATTTTGCAGCTACTATTTTTATTATAGGTATTATCTATTATTATTAAATAGCTATTCTTATTATTGTGCATTGGAATTCGTGCCTCCTTAGAAGTACTGCCTTGGCAAAATATTTGGACAGAAATTCAGTTCAGTTTTGAATATTGCATAAGGGAATTCAAGTGAACCTTTTAGAAGACAATCATTTTTGTATCTGAAAGGCAAATGCATACAATATATTCTCATCTTCCATTGGAGTCACTGGTATATATTAACTTTGATCTAATAAAACAGCATGTTAGAATTTAATGGAGTTGAATTTGAGTCCTAGAAGTAATAGTCAGTTATACATACTGAACATGATAGATATCACTGTCATCATCTAAGTGAACGTTTAAGGAGCTTCTGGGTGGTGCAAAGTTAGCAGGCTCAGCTGCCAACGGAATGGTTGGGGGTTTAAGTCCACCTAGAGATAACCTCAGAAGAAAGGCCCCGGTGAGCTATTGAAAAACGAGCTACTTAAACCTTATGGAGAGCATCGTTCTACTCTGACAAATGAGTGACCAAGAGTCAGAATTGACTTGGTAGCAATTGTATGTTTTTAGTTCTAAAGACGGCATGAAAATGCTGCATTCTCCGGGACCACAAGAAGCCCTGCTGGCATAGCAGTGTTGACTTTGTGCTGTTAACGAAAATGTCAGTGGTTCTAAACCACCAGCTGCTCCATGGGAGAAAGACAGGACTTTCTACTCCTGTTCCATCCTCAGAAACACAGGGGCGGTTCGACCCTGTCCTATAGGGACATTATGAGTCAGTATCGAATCGTGATAGTGCTTAGTTTTTTGGATTCTTGGACCACACGAACCTTAAGCTTTTTGACTTTTCTGGTTGGGGTATTAAGTCTATCCTTTGTGAATCCTCATATTTACAGATTCCACTGTCATATATAATTTCTCAGATTAAAAAGATGAGATATGATTAAGGAAAAAAGCCTCTTGAGCTTCAGGTATTACATGACAACTACTATGTATTCAAGGATTAATAGAGATGCAAGACAATAGGCTGGGATCATTTCTACTTAGTAACTCTTTTGTGAACAACTAGTCTTAGTGTGTTCAGGTCAAGTTTGTGACTCAGGATTATCTGTTAGGAAGCTATAGTCATATGAGAATATTTAAAATCTATTCATGTGACATCCATAAATGAAGAAAATCATGTATTTCTTTGTGATTAAAAAATATTTTCTTAAGTTTTATCTTTTCAAATACAGAGGTTTCTAAATGTCTTAATGGAAGCATTGTGACTGATTTAGTTTTCCGACTTCATATGCTTGCGTTTATATATAAGTCTAACCTTGCTTATAAAAATGGTACTAACAAAGCAGTGACTCTACTTTAAAATAATTTTTAACTTCATGTAATGAACAGCTTATTTTTTCTAATTATAGTTGATATGCAAATTTATAAGAATATAGGAATATCATCTTACCTTTAGGGCTTATTATAATCTAGCTCGGCCAATGTTTTGTCATTCTAGTTTTCATCAGATTTGTTCAGATATTTAGAGAATTAAATGATCTTTTTTAGATTGCTTTAGAAATATACCATTAAAATATTTTAACCTTTCATAATATTTTCATATATGAAACTTATATAAGATGTCTTGTAGATTCTAATAGATATACTATATTTGTAAACTTGTCTTTATATACTTTGAAGAATGTATAATTAGTTCAGGAAAAAATTCAGTTATGTCAAACCATTTTTCTTTATATTGTATTATTCTGTGTTTCCTGTAATATAAAACATTTGTGGTCATAGAATGTGGTCATTTCCTTCCATTATATAGTCTCAGAGGTTAAGGATTTACTCTAATACCACTGCCTGCCTCCTAATAACCAGTAAAGGTTATATGTTTCCTGACTACTTTTGTATTATTTATATCTTGCCTTGTTGTATAAGATATTTGGGGTAATTACATCTGATTTCATTTTTCTAGCTTCATATTGCTTTAAAAATTTTTTCTTTATTTTTATTAAAGAATAATATTTCATTGACATTTTATTCATTCCAATATATCCCTTCCCTTCTCATACAGTTCTGTTGTTCAAGCCCATTGGGTGGGGTAATACAATCATCAATACTATCAACTTCCCTCCCCTCCTTTCAAACCCCCTCCCCCTCACTTCCTGTACCCTCAGGGAGCCCTTACCTTACTCTTGTCATTGTCTCTGAGGGGTCATCTATCTGACTACCATGTACCAAGTGATCTTGAATGTGCAAATGAACAAATGCAAATCTTACATGATTAGGGAGGACATCTTAAAGAACCAGAAGATAGTTATGTGGTTCATCAGTGCCCTACGGCATCTGGATTTATCCTCCGTTCCATGAGGCCCTTCTAAGAAGGACTGTCCAATTGTCTTGCTGGTGGACTTTGGGTCTTTGCAGTATCCAGTCCCCTTCAGATCGATTTGAGTGTTTTCAAATTTCTGATTCCTCTTCCGTCGACGACTCTGATCCCACAGGCCGGAGGCTTCGTCCATATGGGTTTGTTGCTTCTTTAACTGCAAGCCTTTAAGATCCCAGATGTAAGAGCATTTGATAGCCAGGCACCATGAGCTTCCTTCACCGTATTTGCTTATGTACCCATTTTTGTCTTCAGTGATTGTGTCTGGAAAGTGGGTATCATACAATGCCACATGATTACAACAAACCATTCTTGTACCTGAGGTAAGATTTAAGTAGAGGCTCAGAGTCCATTTGCTTCCTTGTTGCATTTACACACACACACACACACACATAAATATGCACACATATTACACACACATATATATAAACAAATATACACATATTTATAGATATGTTTATATATATTGGTGTTTTTTTCCCTCTTACCCCACTATTATGTTTGCCCTGTCATTCACTCTCATATACAATTCGATTGATCAAACACGACCAGAACATCATCTATACCCTCTTCCTGGTCCATTTCAGAGCACTTTGTTTTCCCTCGTTGTTGGCTCCCCACTCACCTCCCCCCCACCCTGCCCTCCCATGCATGGGTGAACCATCGGTCCAGCTGCTTTCTGTCTCTGTAAGACTACCTGTCCTGCAGTTCTTGTATAGGTAAACACCAAAAAATAAAAACTAAAACTAAATAATAAAATAAAATAAAAGATTAAAAAAAAACAACTAAGAAACCTACCACCAACAACACGCAGGTGGCAACCAGTCTAACAGGAATCATGACATACTGCCACATTTGTGCCCAAAGGCGAGTTTCCTGTAAGTCCACTCCCACCGTCCAGGATGGAGTGGTCTAGTGCTCCCACCCCCCATTTACACCATAGATTGTCAGTGTGGCCCCCTTGTGAGTAATCCCCAACCAGTTCAGTGACAGCCAAATGCTGTCACTGGGTCAGAAGTCATCCCGGGATTCCTTGGGGAGTTTGTGGCTTCGCGCCCATCTCTGGTCGATTGCACCACCTTCTTGGTTTGCCCTGTGTGGGCTGGTCAGACCAGCCGCTTTCTCCGAACTGTATCTTCAGGGCTGTCCTCTGCAATGCTGCCATCTAGGGAGAGGCCATCATGTTTCCAGCTGAGGCCAGCCTTGCAGTCATCTCTGGGAACCAGCTGCCCCACTCAGGAACATTGCCCTCGTGGAGTGGCATGCCAGAATAAGGTCTACTCTTGCTCTCTATTTCCTGTGGTGGTATAAACAGTACCCTCCCCTTGGGTTGGTTAGAGCCCTGACCCCCCATTGGCTTAGTTTTTCTTCTCCCACCCCTTTGTGACCTTAAAGGCATATGCGGGGTGGGGGTGAGGGGAGAAATGCCTTTCAGCACAGGTGCAATCTGTATCTGTTGTTGATGATGTGTGAATCATTGGATTTGGTCTGGCTCTTGCCAGAATATCTGGTCCTCAGCCCAGAAATTGTGTGTTATGTTTGTTTTCCCTTAAGCCCATTCTGCTGCTTGCACTTAGCTCAGTGGACTCATGTTACACCTGGCCTTTTGTGTTGGGCTGACTTCACTCAGCATATTATCCTCCAACCCCTTCCACTGGATAAGGTGCTTCATTGTTTCATCACTGTTTTAGGGATGCGTAGTATTGCATTGTGATTTTTAAAAATCCATTTGTCTATTAATGGATATTTAGGCTTCTTCCAATTTTTTGCAATTGTAAACTGTGCTGTGACGAATATTGGGGAGCAGATGTCTGTTTGTGGTCTGTTTCTTATTTCTTCTGGGTATGTGCCCAGTAGTGGGACTGCTGGGTCATATGGTAACTCGATTTCTCTCTGGTTTAGACATCACCAAGTCATGTTCAATGTGGCTCTATGTATCTATAAGACCACCAGCAGTGAGTGAGAGTTCCTAGCCCACCACGTGCCTTTCATTTGTTGCTTTCTGTTTTTTTGAATTGAGCTATCTGTGAGGATGTGGTATCTCATAGTTATTTTGATTTGCATTTCCTGCATGGCTAATGATCGGGAACATTTTCTCATATGTGTATTGTCCGTTCCGATTTCCTCCTTTGTGACCCTTCTGTTCCAGTCTTTTGCCCCCCTCCTCTTTGGGCTATTCACTTTTTCTTGTTGTAAGCTTGCAGGGTATGTAGATTTCACTAGTGAGCTCTCTGTCTGATATGTTGTTACTAAATCCCTTTTCCCGTCTCTGGGTTCTCTTATTAGTCTCGTCATGAATTCTTTTGATGTACACAAGTGTTTTGCCTTTAAAATGTCCCACTCGTCTATTTTACCTTCCTCTGCGTGCGTATCCTTCCTTATTTCTGATAGCCTCTGTCCTGAGTTTCTT